TGGGCACTCGAGGACACCGTAAAATGTTGTTATCCAACATATGTATGTTCTCTTGTATGCAAGCCTACACAAACACTATTTATTACATGAAAGCCGGACATCACTCATTCATATTGTTATCTCCTCCAACTTTCCTGTGGCACTCAGTGGGACGCAGGAGCGCATGGCACATCTTTACTGGGAGATCAAGATAAACTCTATCTTGATTACCTTGTTTTTAACTTCCTATCCGATAACATCATGTCCACAGGGGCACTTAATGATGTTACTGAGGCTACAAATATGACTTAAAACAACCCAAAACAGAAGCCTTGGATGAAAAGGTCCAGACCTCTGGGACCTCAATGATGCAGTGCTAAGGAGAACTGTCAACTGTTCAGGGGTAAATGGCAAATGTTAACATAAAGAAGGAGCTCATGTGTTAAGAATTTTTTCATTGGTGAACCATTTGTGCCTGCATATTGTTGTTATTTAAATGTCCTGTGTGTAACATTTAGGTGCATCTATAGGCAGAAATGTAATATAATATGCATAACTGTGTTTTAATTAGTATATATTATATGTATTGCCTGCATATATAAAGTGTTGTGTTTTTGTTACCATAGGATGAGTCTTTTATACCTTCAGTCGCCTTCCATGGACTCCACCATGTTGAACCACCATGTTTCTAGCTCAGAAGGGACAAACAAAACACATTTTCTCCTTTGCACTTGGAAGATGAGGGTAAAGCAAGGGAGCTGCATCCTGAGAAACCTGAACATGCTACGTTTTACAACTATACTGCATTTGTCAACATTTTAAAATTAGACTGAAGGAATTTTTAAAGGCAGTCAATCGTGTAGTTATGTGTAGGGGTGGGGTGGGATGCGGGGTGAAGGGGGGTAGGTATGTATTTGTATGAATATGTATGTATACAGTCATAAGTCATAATGATGTTTCTGCAAGGTCTGTTATTTTAAAGACCCTCTTGGAACGGGCATTGGTAATTAGCTGTAGTAACAAATGCTGCGATACATTGCATTGGTTAATTGTAAAGCAATCTAGGTAAACTGTATCTGTCCCTATCAAACATTAAATGAAATGAATGAAGTCCTACACACCTTTAAAAGATCAGTGTGGTCAGGTTTAGCCATAATGATGGGAGGAAACTTGAAACTCTTTTCTACAGATTATTTCTTTCTTCTTTCTACCATTTTTAATATCATGTGATTATCATAGGAAACGGGAACATAAATCTACTGTGTGCAGAACCAATCACATTGCGATCTTTTGCATACTAATTAAGAACAGTTAACGTCTACGGCCCCAACGATAGCTCCCTGCTAAACATAATTACTTTAGTATTGCCACTAAAAACAAGTTTATCTATCTATCAGCTGTACGCTACCTGCTGAGCACCAAATGGCACACAGACAGTTAACAACTAACCTCAGCTAGTGAACAATAGTGGTGCATTTAGCAGCTAATGAGCCAGATATTACCTTTAGGAGTTAGTAGAGACAAAAACAGAGCCAAAAGGAGAGTAATATTGGACTTACTTTCACCAGGTGTCCATAAACATGACACAGAATGAATGCAAATGTCACTTTGTGTGTGCGGTAACTATTTGCTAACAAATAAGTGACCCAAAAATGCACATTCATTGCAGGTTTATAGGCCAAAAAGGTTGTTTTTAGCCCACTCAGTCACTATACTCTCCTGCTGTTAATCTTTAATATACAACAAATATAGATGCAGTTGCATGATGTGTAAAGTGCCAGTGTGTGTATGATTGGCCCCATTGGTCCCATTCAAATCTGCAAACCAGCATTTGTATGGTCAGTAACATGTTTCAACATGTAATCCTCAATAAACAAAAAGCTGGCAAAGGTTTCTTTTGGCTGAACATAGTTGCAGTTCTTTGGTGAAGTCTAGAATAACATGATTTATATGAAAGAGGAACTGGCATCTAATTCCACCATTTTTCTTGTGAAGTAATGAGAGACACAGTCACACAAAGAAACATCAAACAAATGTTTCAAGTTTCAGGATTCTTTAAAATTGTACCATACATGTTTTTACATTCCAGGTTTACATTTTACTGGCTACGTTTCCACAGAGATCTATTGTATACAGAAAATCAAAGGCCATGAGCTCTGCTGTGAGCTGAGGTAGCACAAAATGAATCCGAAAAAAATATTATTAATGAGTCTAATAATGACTACAATACAAAGAGTGTTGGAGAGTAAAATCCAGAATTCAGAGAGTGAAGTGGAATATTTCACGTGGAATAGATTTAAAAACAAAAGACCTGTGTTGAAAGGGTGATTTGTGGATAAAGGAGAGGATTTCTACTTTCTGCAGTAGGCCACAGCACCATATGCTACTACTCCCACAATAGCTACTAAAGCAGCACCTCCACACAGCAGCTCAGTGGAGCTCAGAGGTTTGGTAGTCTTTGGTAGAGCGGAGGGCTCCGGCTTTTCTTGAGAGGCTTCAACTGAATGTTCCTCCACGTCCGAGAGGGGAATCTGTGAGAATTTTAGTTGCTCGAGACTCTCTGTCGGAGGCTCTGCTGCCATCGGTGCAAGGATAGAAGGAGGATGGAGCCCCTGAGTAGAAAAAAGCTCCTCAACTTCAGAGGCTGTGGTTGAAGGGACCGGGGTGGACGTCGTGGAGGGGGGATCGAGCCTGACGATAGGCAGAGGAGGCAGGGCCATCGGGGGAACCACCTGCATGAACTCTGCAGGCTCCTTCTCCACATGGGGCTCCTCTGCTGTCACCAGGAGCTCCTCAGTTTCTGGGGCTTGGAGGTCTTGCTCCTCCTCCCTTAGCTCAATCAACTCCCTCTCCCCTCCTAAAACGCTCAACACACTCGTCTGCAGCTCCTCATCTTCTTCCTCCTCTTCCTCTGTTCTCCTCGCCCTCTCCTCCTCTGCGGCCTCCTTCTCGGCCTCTTCGAGCATCTCGGCCTCCTCTCGCTCCAGGTGGACCATGTCAGAGTTGGAGGAGTGGTTCTCCTCTCCGGCCAGAGCCGCCCCGTCACTGCTGTCCAGGCTCTTAGTGTCCTCAGGGTCCATATCGCCCATCGTGGACCAGGACTCTGCCAGCAGGCTCTCGCTCTGCCAGGGTCCGAGGCTCTCTGTCTGGGTCAGAGGCAGAGCAACAGGGCTGAGGGAACCAGCCTCCCCGCCTCCTCCATCCCCCCTGCTGGACTCGACTGGGGCCTTTCCCTCCAGAATGAAGGCTGGCTGCTGCAGAGACAAAACAGAACTCTGTGAACTCTAAGTGCATTTACTTAAGTATTATACTTGGTAAGTACCAATCCTGACTCTGTCCAAAAGTAGCAGACTCTACCTACCATCACATCTAAAGTTTGCTAATTATCCAGGAAAGCTAATAAATAGTTTGCCACATAACCTCCTGCAAATCTTTTGTAGAGATTGAACAAATTAGATATAATTATTGAGCTTTACAGGTGCCGGTTGGCTGATTTCTTTTAACCTTTGGACAGAGCCATGGTAGCTGTTTCCAGTCTTTATGCTAAGCTAAGCTAACCAGCTGCTGGCCGTAGCTTGATCATTAAATGAACAAACATAATATCAATCTTCTCATCTAGCTCTCGGCAAGAGCGAGGACAGATCTAAAGGGGTGGTGTGGGGTGCCAGCTGCCCAAGTATTGGTGTCAAATGTAACACACTAATTTTAATTAATTTAAAAAATAACATGTTTAAAAATGTAAATGAATTTAATGATCTGTTATAGCCACGTTTCAGGCAGCGATAAGCTTAAATTGAATGAAAAAAGTCATGTAAAGAAATAAGGAAATGATAATAGAATAATTATATTTCCAAAAATTGTTAAACTGTTCCTTCAATACATTATGTCATCTGACTCAAGCCCACATTTCTGGATAACTTTAGGTAAACATTTCATATCTTAATTAGTTACATCAAGTGTAAAATTTAAATCCACTATGAGTAGAATCTGAAAAATGTCTGACTTTGGCGCTCCCTGGTTGTAGTAGTACGCTACTGACACTGAGAACACAACACATAGACTGCACCAAATTACACTAGGATTGTCTAAACAAGCAAAAACTTCATAATATCAGTAAAAATGTGAACCATTCTACACATAACAGCTTAAATAAATAACAATGTACAACATGCTTATCTACACTTACACATCTACACACAGCTTGTCTGTGTTCTAGTGACATCAGTGAGGCTGCGGTTGGAAAAATTTGCTTGCTGACGGCTCTGTATTGCAGGGGCTGTGACTATCTATAGCCTCGACCTGCATATCTTACTATGTTTAGGCTCTATATACATCTCCATCTGTCACCCAAGAGTGGAAGCTATTTCAGTGATTTCACATGACATGAGAGTAAGAACATAAAAACCATAATTCCTGCAGTAAACCTCCCATTTTTACCAGTATTGAAATATTAATAATTAATCTCAACACAATAAAATCCTAATTTCTGAAAAAACAAACCACTTTCCAGATTAAGGATGATCATTGTGTGCATGATTATTTGCATAAATTAGGCTCAAGAGCTCAATCAGTCCCAAGGTGACCCTCTTCACCCCTTGTGCCAAGTCTCAGCTTTGATTGCAGAAAGCATTTCACCCCCATGCCAATCCCAGAATAGAAACTTTCAACACTTGCTCTTCGCTGTGTAATTTTGTATCACGTTCACAACATGAGTCCTGTCTGTGTTTCCTCTGCAGAACATGTCCCTTAATAGTTCTCTACAGTTCAAGCATATGAATGAAAATGTGGAAGGTTATTTGGGTGTGGATTGATGAAGATTAGTGGATCAGAAAGAGTGGTTTTAGTTATATTTATTCTACTGTCCATACTGTATATATCTAACCTATATAGTATCTACATATTTATATTACTGTTTAGTGCTATAGTGGCAAATATTAATATTAAACATCAAGCTCTTTATTCTGTTTATGCTTCACTATTGCCATCACTTGTACTTCTACCTCCTGCACTATGTATTTTCAGCCAACTGTAACTGCTGCACATTCATACCCCATACTGTTTATTCTATATATTAAACATATATGTAGATTACTCAGCAGTGACAATAAAGGTCACGGAGCAGAGAGGCTATATGAAATAAAACCCTCATGAGAAAAAAGTCAGTAAGTAAGTTAATTTAATCAATAATTAAGAAATCTTTAAACACCTGTTGAACAAGCATAAAATTGTTTTTTGCTCTCAATGTTACATTTTCAATTTACAGGGGAAATATGTATACAGCTAATATACTGTGTGTATTATGTACATAATAATACATAACAGCACAGCTGGGTTAGTTGGGTTTCATGAATAAATAAATATAAGAGGTCTGAAAGGATTCAGATGAGTAAATTGCTCATTCATGCTCTATATTTAATGTTAAAATTTTAATGCATTAATATTATTTCTCTAAAAATAAACCACTGTGTCCCTTAATTTTCCTCTGTGCCCCTAAAAATAAGTGTAGAGCCCTGCTTAATGAGAACAAATCCTTTAACAGCCTCTCCAAGGCTTGAATATCTGTTACATTTGCACTCAACCTTACATTAAGTTGTGAATCCGAAATCCAAGAGGTGTTGCTGCTTCCTGTAGATTCAATATGGATACATACTTTGATATAGCAAATATCAATAAGCCGGAAAGCTGTATCTGTTTATCACTGCATACACTGATTTTAAAAAGACAAATAAACTGGTGGCGGAGTGGCTGCATGCTATGCAGGGGACCGTTTTTGGATGTCAAACTCCTCTTTCTTTCCTTTCCTGTATTGATGTCTTTTATCCAATAAAAAGATAAAATGCCAAAATTTTAAATATTATTAAATAAATACTGTGCATATGCTGTTTGATTTTGACTGAATTGGTCCATAAAAGTTTGCATTAATTAAATGTATACCCATCACAAGTTGCACCTGAGGGATCAAAAGAGGAACAAAAAAATGTTTTGCTCCATAAAATATGTTTTTCAGACATTTCTTTTGTCTTTGCATGTTTTTAGGCCTCTAAAAATAATGTAAATATACACGACATGAGAAGGGCTCATATAAATGTTGATGAGGAATTGTGAGTCAAGTTTGGATCAATTTAATGGCTCACAAAGCAAAAAGGTTGGGGGACCACTGATCTACAATGTGTCTGGATACGACTGCAAACATTTATAGGCTATCAGAAGTTTTGGCTTTGAATGTCCTCCGTTCTGTAATTCCTCTACTTGCCCTTAAAGAACTTCTCCAAGCCTTAAGCATGGATTTGGGATCTGTCCTTACCTCAATGAAATCTCCCTCATCCACATCTAAACATTAGGTGTATATAACTCCTATTAGTACTGTAAATAAAGTGTGTTCTCAAATTTTAAAAACACTCTTTCTTTTGTGTTTTTGCCTCACAGGGGAAAGCAACCCCCTCCCCCCCTTCCTGCCTGTTACGCAACAACTTGGTACTTTTTGTGCAATAAAACCTTCTGACTCTGAGTCGAGCAGCTGGACAAAATCAATAAAAGAGACTTATTAGGCCTTGAATAAACATTTGCAGTACACATTAGTGCCTTTATAAACCTGAATCACTTGATTATTAACAGCCAGGTTTGTGTTTCAGCATTCAGATCTGTTAAATCATTTCTTTTCAAATATTTATGATTGGGATATTTTGCATGCTATCATTTTTTTCTCATGCTTTTATGACTCTCCACACTCCACCCCTTCCAGAGTGAGCAGACTGAAACAGACGCCCTCCCAGACGTCACTGATTTAATGAGCTACTAGCTGCCATATTGTCTCCCCTGTTAGACCTGTGCACATTTCACTCCACACACAGTGACACAGCTGCCTGAAACATTAAAGTTGGCAGGGCACGAAAAAGATTTTAAACCCTTCACACACAGACTCATCTGTGTCTCTGCCTGCTATGAAACCAATCAACCTTTTCTACTCTGTCATCCTCCTTTACTTGCTGGCCTACTTGAGTAATTGGATTCCCATTGATCCTATCCCGGCGATAACAGACTCATGGTGAAGTAAATGATCAGGGAGATTTAGGGCACTTTTTCTAATGCTAATGTGTGATGAGGGCAGAGGGATATCAGATACCAGATTTTACTAAAGGTCAGCTTTCAATGTCAAAGTGGGAGAATTGGTTGATTAGACAAGCCAGCTCTTCGTGGCAGTTTCTCTGTCTTGTGCAAGGTGAGATTTTGCCCTTCCCAACACCAGTGACCCATAATGACCCTTCTAGCCCTGTTATGTTTACAGATAACACATTTAACAAAGCACAGCACACAAAAAATCTGATCACATTCTTCACTCAAGGAAAACATTCTCCTTCAGATTTCAGGCTTTTGCTAAAAGTTTCTGCCAGTTGAGTAAAAAAAAGGAAAAACTACGTCCGAGCATACCTGCGTCCACTTGGCGCGGCGCTGAAGATGAGAAGCAGATGCTGGAGATCAAAGTGAGATGTGCATTCAGACACGAAGCCACAAAACAACAGATAGGCAGACATGCATGCTGTAGCTGGCACAGGAATAACAAGATGGACAAGCTGTGCAAAAGTCTCTCTCTCTCTCTCTCACCCACCCCTATTCCCAAATCCATGACCTAACAGTTGGCCGGAGAGCAGTGAGTGGTGACTTTGCTGTCTGTTCGGAGAAACACCATGAATAATGTAGATAAATAGTAAATAAATGACAGTTTAACTTTTTCATCTTGAATTAGACTTTAACCTGTGTGTCTGAAAGGTCAACAGAGGTCAGTGGGTAAGTGTTTCCCTCAGGTAAACAGTCCGTGGAGTTTTATGTTCGCTGTCCGAACAGCAGATTATCCACAGTCCACAGTGTGTGAGCCGGTGACACCAAGTGGAAAACGCATGTCAGATAGGGAGAAGAGCTATTTCTAAAGCTGAACTTTCCAAGTTCTACTTCCCTCTACTGGCAAGACATGTTACAAGACTGGAAACTATGCCAGGAGGCATTTTTATGGCATGGGTTCCCAAACTTTTTCATGTCAAGGACTCCAACCATAGATACACATTAGACCACAGACCCCAGATTTGAGAGGATTTTGTCTTGAGTATTTTTTTTTAATTCTTAGGTTTGGAGATAATAAAAACTTCATAGTCAAGCAATGATCAAACTAACATCACTACAAATCACAATCAGTCAAAACCGCCCACCCTCTTTCTTACCTTCTGAAAACTGTGATAAAAGTTAAAATATTCTATTCTTCCTTCTGCGTGAGACCCTTTTTATACCCAGACTCCAGTTTGAAAACCACAGTTAGATGGTACACTTGCACAGAACCAGCATGTATATTATGAACACAGTTTGCATTTCACAATGTAAACATAAGTTTTGTCTCAATAGCTTCTCCAAAACATTGGAATTCTATTCCGGTCATATATTTTCTTATTAAATTGTAGTTTTCAGGAGTCAGGTAACTGTGTCTGACCTGACCTATTATCATTTGTTATGTCTGAACATATGTTAATTTTATTTAATCTTTTCTCTTTGATTACGTTCACTCTTTTGTTCTGTTTTTTTACTGTGCTGTAAAACACTTTGGATTAACTGTGTCATGTGTAAGGTTTTGTGTAAATAAAGTTGAGTGAAGTTGTGTAATGCACTTTTCCTCAAGAGAAAAAAACAAAGAAATCAGAATGAGAGACCAAAAGTACAAAACACAGAGAAGTATGTTATTAAATTAGAGTTTATGCAGTATATATGAAGAATAATGGTTGCATTCAACTCACTATTGAAAGGATATAGTTTTACTTTGTAACTCTTTCAGCTATTATTTGGTCAAATCGCAATGCAGTTTCTTCCAATATATCTAAAAAGATATATTACTATATATAAGAGAGAAATTACTCCATATAACAACATAAAAGTAATTATTTGTATGGCTATTTTCCTATCAAAGGGATCAATAGGGCGGGGGGAACAAAAGCAAATACTAAAAATCAAAGTAAATTCAAATAAAAACAAGAAGATTCTAAATATATATTATATATATACATTAAAATATGTTGTTAAAATATAAAGGATTTTAAGGTCAGGATGAATAAATCAGCCATTCTAGTTTCCCCTTTGCTACGTCATAACTCGTCAGGTTCTCGCCCTCTGATTGGCTAGCCCGACCGGAAGTAAACATCATGTGACTCGGGACATCAGCTGATCCGCCGTAGACATCTTTACGAGTCACGACTGCGGCGATTAATTCATACCTCCTCGTCTGTGATTTTCGGGTAAATAACGCTCGGTTTAAAGCTCTCACTGCAGAAATGTTGTGCCAACGGGTTTCTCTTTTATCTCCTAATGATTTTAGTTGTTTGTGTTTGTTTGTTGTTCTTCCTCGCAGGCCCCCGCGGATCTTTTGACAGCTGCAACCATGGCGCTCAGCGATGCCGATGTCCAGAAGCAGGTAATGAACCCGTTTTAACCTTCAAAGAAAGACACCACTCGTCTGTTTGTTGTCGTTTACTGGTGAAGGAGCTTTTACGTTGCTAAATGTCTAATTGCGACACTAAGAAATGTTTCTATTGGCCGGAAGTGTGTGTGTGTGTTTCCAGGAGAATGACATTGAGAGAGCTGCAGTAATTTAGCATCCAAAATAAACACAAAGATCAGCTTGAATACAACGTTTAGGGTGTTTTTGAGGGCTGGTTTTTCAAGGAGTAATGCGAGTTTTTTTGCAAAATGAGTTTGCAGTGTTGTGTGGAAGTTATGGCTGAGATGTGGAGGGTCATATTTCCAAATGATCACATGATGAACTCATGCTTCAGGGCCTGATGGGGAACTGGGAGTGAGTGAGCCAGTGTCTGGTCACTTCAATGGGGGAAAATCTGAGCAAATACTGTCAAATAATCTTACTGTAAAGCTAATGTAGAGCTGCAGAGGTCAGTCGTACCTGTTGTATAGTTATTAGTGTTCAAAAGCTAAATGGACAGAAGCATTCCTCACCATGGTGACAGAGGCGGTTCACAGCAGGGTGAGGAATCATCTCTGGGTTTCATTATGAGAGACATGATAGATTTGCTGTAGTTTAGTTCACACCAAAGGAGGAAAAAATACTTTAGAATGAAATTGTGTGCATAAAAAAAATCAGATTTCTTTTCCTCCTTTCTGCAGATCAAGCACATGATGGCCTTCATTGAACAGGAGGCCAATGAGAAGGCAGAAGAAATTGATGCAAAGGTAAACACAATGTTTACAGTGGCCAGATTTGATAATAAAGTTTCTTTTTTGTAGGGGTTTCATTTGCCTTTTTATTGAGTCACCAGTGGAGAGATGACAGGAAATAAGAGGGGAGAGAGAAAAGAGGGAAAGACGTGCAACAAAAGTCAGATAGCAGGGCAAAATAGAGTATAAACATATACGTTATAAGCATAGATAAACACATAAATTCACATCACATCATCAGATAATTTGCATTCACAACATACATTGATTCCACATTAAAAAGGACTTTAAAAGTGGAATTTGAACTGTTTTTGAGTGTAATGTTTTAAAATGGTCCTCATATTCAGAGACCTGTGTGAGAGCCACCACTAGGGGGCCCTAAAAGTACAGTATACTATGTACTGATATGAACGAGGGTCTACTGGCAGATTTCACCAAATCTGAACCATTTGGGAATTATTTTACACTTGACATATAACTTTTTTTAAAATTTGACATTTTACTCAACCTTTAAGTGACATCAGTAACTAGAATGAATTATTAATTATTGTTTAAACATTTTTCCATGGAAGCAGGATTATAAGAATATTTATATAAAGCTGGAGGTTGAGATGATGTGGACATAACTAAACAAAAACAATAAAAACTGATGATTGAGGAGGAGATTGAGGATTTATTCCAGATGTTTGATGTTATTAGTAGCAGGAAGAACTTGTAAATTAAAAAAAAGGAAAGATACATAGTTGGGTTTGTTGGTGGGGTTGTGCGTTATATTTTATATTTAAGAAAACAAACGTAGCTAAAGTACATGGTAACAATAATATAATAATAATATAAGGTAACGAGTCATATTCTTCTTTTATCTTATAGTACTGGAGTAGATTTTTGCCCAAATCTGAACTTAAATTGTAACATACATTGTAACAAACATGTAATTGTTTTTATGTCCAATCACAAGAGATTCTCCTTTGAGGTTTTGTTAAAATGTTCTAAAATAAAGCATTGACTCTAATTCCAGGAGTCTCATTACATCAGTCAGCAGTATTTGTAGTACTGAAATGATTATGAATGGGTAGATAGACAGAAATTAGACTCCTACTACTATAATGATAGATTAATTCAATAGAAAAAGTACATTAAATGTCAAAAAATGTCTGTTTCTAGCCTCTCAGATATGAGAAGTTGCTGTTTTTCTCTGTTTTATAACTTTTCAAATAGAATATCTTTAGGTTTTGGGCTGTTAGGCTGAGAAAACACGTTTTTTTTAAAAGATATCACCTCACTCTCTGGGAAATTATGGGCATTGTGACTATTTTATTAAACAATTGATTGATTAATGGCCCCAAAAAAATCCACGGACTAAATCGATAATGAAAATAGAACATTTAGGCCTTTCAGATTTTGACATTTAATCAAAGCACTATAATCAGTCCGATCAATGTAATACTGTTGAGAAATTAGATTCTGTGAAAGATGTGTCTTCGCTATCCCAAATTAAACCTTTTTTTAAAGTGACCTTTTAACTATAGTATGTGCAAAGATGAGGGACGATGAAGGATTTTGCGCTGAGGGAACTGTGTCTCCTTCTGCAGGCAGAAGAAGAGTTCAACATCGAGAAGGGCCGTCTGGTCCAGACTCAGAGGCTGAAGATAATGGAATACTACGAGAAGAAAGAGAAGCAGATCGAGCAGCAGAAGAAAATGTGAGTCATGGCGAGAAATCACAGGACACATTAAGTCCTCCCTTCCTAAATCCGGCCTTTTTAAGAACAAAGAAATAGCTGTAATGTGTGACACAGAGTTTCTGTAATTTTATTTAGTCCCTTCGTCTTACAGTGACTCTTTTGTAACCTGCCCTTAACCGTCTCCAGTGTTTCCGGACAAACAAACATAGTCCCACTTAGAAATCTAAAGAGTCCCAATGTGTGTGTTATTTGTCTCCTTAACAGTCAAATGTCCAACCTGATGAACCAGGCCCGACTGAAGGTGCTGAAGGCCCGGGATGACATGATCTCGGTAAGCAGCCGTACATCAGTTTGTAATCCTATCATCATATCTTATGTACATAAGAGAGATTAGTGATGGATAGTGTTACTGGTGTAAATAATAGAAACACTGTACGTATTTGTGCCCTCAGGAAATGTTGAGTGAGGCCCGTCAGCGGCTCGCTACTGTCGCAAAAGACCAAGCCAGGTATCCAGCTCTGTTGGACGGATTGATCTTACAGGTTAGTTTATTTCTCTCAACTACTATACACTCAGGTGCCAGTTTATTAGGTACACCTAGCTAAAGCTAAAGCAGGCTAATACAACAATCCTGCAATAAATCCGACGTTCATGAAGGTTATAATGTCCAGTTCTTGAGATTCAACTTGGTGTTTCTCCTATTTAGTACCCTCATTCATGTAAATTGGGTGGACATAATATTAGAAATCTTAGTATGATGCAAAACAGTTAAACAAAGACTCCACATTATAACTTTTAATGAAGGTAGGATTTACTTTCAGCAAGGTGTACCTCATAACCTGCCCACTAAGTGTATATGTCCACAAGAATGATGTTATTAGAGAGGTTTGAAAAACTTTTTCACAATGTTTCATCCTATCAGGGATTCTATCAGCTTCTGGAGCCCAAAGTGACAATTCGCTGCCGTAAACAGGATGTGCAGATGGTACAGGTGAGTAAATTAGCAAGTGCATATTTGAATTTGCATTAAATTTATTTATTTATTTGGCAGATGCTTTTGTCCCAAGCGACAAACTAATGGGCTACAATCCAGATCAAGGAGAGGCCATTAAGTTAAATTTCAAATTCATGTTTGCATTTAATAAGACATAAGTGGATAGGAAATGGATTGTTATCGTGTGTGAAAAAGCATGATCGGTGAGTAGGCAGTCTCATAAGTACAGTGGTTGTGCTGTGACTCTTTCAGGCTTCCATCCAGAGGAATATTCCCATATATAAAGCAGCCACAAAGATCAACCTGGAGGTCCGCATCGACCAGGACAACTTCATCTCCCCAGACGTGTAAGAAGCAGCATCGCATTTGAAAACATAAATTAGACTTAAACAAGTTAAAATTTACTCTTGAAAAAACTTAAATGAGTATTGTTCTCAATTTGATTTCTCATTTTTTGGTTCAGTTCTGGAGGTGTTGAAATCTATAATGGTAACGGGAAGATAAAGGTGGCTAACACCCTGGAGAGCAGACTGGACCTCATGGCTCAGCAGGTAGGAAATAGACACAGTTCATATTATCAGACTCTAATTCCCCTTTTCATCCTTGAGACCAAACGTTCCCTCCTCCGTCTTCCTTATTGATCCATTTTCTCCTTTTTTCCCCTCATGTTTAAAAGGTCTGTTGATTTTGTCTGTTATGTTCGTGAACGTCCAAATATATATGATAAATAAATAATAAAGAATTGCAAATGTCCCTTTTAATGAGGAGTGCAGTTAGTAAGACAGAAATCAGATTAAAACTTTATTTTTCCATATGACAGCTGCATGTGACACCATAAGTGTCATATTTTATTGAATTTATTATTTTTTAATTACATTTTTGGCTTTTATTATGAAACACTTTGTGATGTCCGATCTGTAAAGGTGCTACATAAAATAGATATTTTATTTTATTAGATATATTTTTGCAAGATAGATATTGTATAAGGAATAGAGCAAATTAAAACTATTTACATCCCTTATATTGGCAGTTGCCTTGTTTTCTGTTACAGTGAAAATACACAAAATATAAAACAGAATTTTATGTTGTCTTGTTTTATGATATTAGTGTTTTCCTCATTGTTATTTCTGCCGATCTTAGCCAGGGCACTCTAGGAAAAGACTGTATAGTCTCAGAAAGGCTTTCATAGTTAAACAAAGAACAACAATCCTTTCTCCTGCTAACTTTTTCCTCGCATATCTGCAGATTTGTAAACCATGTGTTTCTGTGTTTTGCAGATGATGCCTGAAATTCGGGTGGCTCTCTTCGGTGCCAACCCAAACCGCAAGTTTCTGGACTGAGTACCTCTACTGTATTAGAGAAAAACTCTCCTTTTATTTTTTATTTTGTCATATGAAACGACGTCATTCCTCTGTCTGTGAAATGAATTTCCGATGCAAAAGAGACGCATTGTTGTTGTGTGATGTATTGCTGTATTTTTCTGTGCATTAAGGGACATGATAGACGCTGCAACTCCACATTACAGATGTGCGTCGTGTGTACTGCACAGTTGTAACGACTGGTTTACTCTGCTGCTTCCCTTTTTTTGAGGGTCTCAGTTTACACAGATTAGTCCGGCACGACGAGGTCGGGTCATTGGCTGGATGTTTAACAGATTGTCCTCTAATTGGATCAGTTTTCATGACAAACACAGCATCCGTGTCACGTCCTCTAACCCCACATTATAAGTTGCATGGGGCATTGTGTTGCTAATGGGTGTCTGCTCCAACCAATCACAGAGAAAAAATAGCATCCTAGAAACCAAACTGAAGCCCGGACATGACCTTTACAGAGTTAATTTATTGATGTTACATCGACTGTATGTTGTGTTCTGTCATCAATTAAACGAGTGGGGGGGTTATCATTCCAGAGGGTGCACTGTATGTATATGAGGTTTCCAGATTAAATTATACGTATGTGTGGTTGTTGTTTTGTTTTTTTGTTCATCTCTTCTTCTTTTTTGATCATGTCTCAAACTTAAAATGTTATATTGTGGAAATGTAAAACCTAATAAAATATAAATCATTAGTATCACTTCTCTGCTGTTTTTTGGTTCACACAGTGTCCTCGCTGCTGAGAGATGTAAAATTTTTACATTTATTTTGCAACACTGGCCATTCATGCTTTGTTCATTAGTTTATCACATGGTATTTGTCAGACAAAAATGCCCCAATTATCCAGTTGCTCCGAGGATTTTGCTGACATGCTAGACCGATAGTGGAGGTTCTTGTGGAAAACAAGACGAGTCTTTTGTGAGACGGCGGAGCTGAGACACAGCACACAGGGAGCTCCTTCTTACTTGTAAGTATTTTATGTTTTAAAGTAGCTACATTTGACTTGAAAAGTTTTCCTTCTTTGCTTAGTTTTTGTGAATGATCTGAGGGATTGTTTGTCACTTTCCTCCACTTTTCTTTTGGTTAATTTTCACTCTGAATGCTTACCAGTCTTGGTTAAGCTACTGAATGGGCTCTGTCAACACGTAATGCAAGCTGACCAGCATGTTATCATGTTGATGACCTTAAAACAAGTTTGTCCAATTTATTTACCCGCTACACCACAAAAATTACACAGACTTCTCCACCGAGGCAAAAAGACTTTAATGTCATTAGTTCATGTCTCACACTGAGTATTTCTCTTCTTACAGCAGTAAATCCAGCAATCCAGCTCCTGTGATCATGTTCTAGCACCCTCTTGTGGCACATAAGGACATGGTGATCTCAATCTGCCAGGCTGTGGTCACTTATGTGCTCCTTCTGTGGTTTATAAGAGTGACTGATGGGATGCCTGACCCTGCTCAGAGGGACCTGCTGATGCGTCAGGAGGCGTCCAGACAGACGGGAGGCCGGGTGGCGTTGACAGCGGCCGAGCAGAAGCTGGACACTTACCTCCATCAGTTAAAGGAGAAAGAGATGTCTGCTGCACAGTTCCCCCCAGCTCTACACTTCTTCAAAGCAAAGCCTCTCATCCAGAAGAGTTCAATCTTCAAACTGCTGCAGAAGATGCCTAAAGGTGACGTCACAAGCATGGATGTACAGGGGGCCAGGGGCCCAGGAGGTCATGGGGACCCCCCCTGCAAAATCTTATCCAATATTTGATTTCTTAGTTTTTTATTTCTCATTATAACTGCACAGCATACTGGGGCTACAGCAACATTTAATTAAAATACAGTAACATTAATAAATTATATTATTTATTTTAAATATCAGTTGACAACAGAGTAGATTTAGGAAAATAGAACTTGCATCTCAGACTTTCTTTGTTGATTTCCTGTAATATTTTATATAATATCTATTCTGGCAGGTAGCTTTTGACAAGAGTCAGTCTTTCTTCATCTGAACTAAATATTGTTTTTGAGCTAACCTGAGTCTGGTTCTCCTGCACAACATCATTTGAGGAGATGCAAACGACAACAAGACAACAGGACGCAAAAAACGAATTCAAACAAAACTATTAGAGACACAAAACTACTACAAACATGCAAAACGACCACAAAGGCAAAGAGACACAAAATTACAGACAAAATTTTAGACTACAAAGTTACATGCAAATGACCACAAACAGACAGAATTACTACAAAAGGGCACAACATGACTGTTCGCCGCAGATGTTACCAGGAATACTATTTATGGTTAATTTCCATTGAGCTTAAACAGCCTCAGGGCGCTGTTACTCTTTACTGTGGTTACTGTGAACGCTGGCTCACTAAATAGAACAGAAATTTAATTAGTGTCATGGGTATCACCTGTGTGTGTATCACCTTACTGTTTCATGTCAATGTGGTCACAACACCTATTGGTAACCCAGATCTTCATTTTACTGTCTAGGTTCAGTACATCAGTTTGAGGTTATATCCTGTTGTTTTCTGGTGACAGGTGCAGCCCTCCACATCCACAGCTCCTCTCTGGTCAGTGTTGAGTGGCTGGTTAAAAACGTCACCTACAGGCCACACTGCTACATCTGCTTCACGTGGGACAACTCGGTCCGCTTCTTGTTCTCCGACCGCCAGCCTTTCCCACGGTGGGACTGCTTCTACTGGCAGCTGCTTGAGACCCTGAGAGCCAAAATAGGAGACCCTTCAGGCTTTGATAACAGGTTGAGTAAGATATCACCCTCCCTTTACACATTTTAAGTTAGATATAATGGAAGAACTTAACCCAGATTATTATTATTTTTTTTTAGTTTAATGCAGCACCTTACACTGTTCACCGAGGATCCAGATGGGGAGTACCCAAGCCAAGATGTGGTTTGGGAGAAGTTTGAGAAAGCTTTCATCGCAGCCGCTGGACTAATCACTCATGCCCCAGTACTGAAGGACTATATTTTTAAGGGCCTAGGGGAGCTTCAGCTTGACAACATCATGTATCTGGAACTTAGGAGTGGCCTCTCAAGGGTTTGTATTTGTTTAGTTTGCTCTCTCCATCAGCTCCAGCCTCTCTCAATGAGCCACAGTAGCAGTTGTAGTAGCTCTGACATTTCTGTATTTCTGGACTGCAATAGTGTTAAATCCAATCAAACTTTTTTTTTATGTGTTTCAGACGTATGAGCTCGATGGAACCATTCACGATAAGGTCTGGACTCTAAAAACATTTCAGGAAGTTACAAGGAAGTTTATAGCAGATCATCCAGACTTTCTCGGGGCTCGTATCATCATTTCTGTACACAGGTATCGACCAGTAAGATCAAGGAAACAATATGTTAAGGTGTCATTCAAATTCCACTCTGTGTAGTGTGACCTGATGTCAAATAAGATATATAGCTAAATGTATTTAAAGTATCAGAAGTAAAGGACTACTTAAGCATAAAAATAGCCCATGTGACTGGTATACGATATATAATGTGTACATATAGTAGTGTAGTGAAAAGTACAATATTATAAAGTAGAAGAAGTACTCAAGTTAAAAGTGTGTAAAACTATACCACAAAATCAGTACTTGAGTAAATGTGCTTACTTTCCACCACTGCATAATTCTTAATGTAACACAAAGATAACAGAAAAAGATGCTTTTTGAACTACTTGAACAGAAAATCCAACTAAGTTAATTTATAACCAAAGTGGGGACGATGTGCCACTTTAAAGCTCTAATTTAACTGTAATTTAACTGTAACTGTTTTTCAAACAGGGACATGCCCTGTTTGAAAAAATTACAGTTAATTCTGAAACTATAATTAATTATATTATGTCTTTATTTTATGTTTCCTGTTTTCTGGAAATGGAAATAGCTATAGAGTTAGTCTAGTTATTAAAGGGGCACTCCACCAATTAGGTAAATATTTGTAGGTCTGCTGGTGCCTTGGAGGAGCTTTGTTAGGTCTCAGAGTCATAGTAATCTTATCTCATCTTGGGGTTTGAGACTACAAATATATAATGAAATGCCTGTGTTACAAAATGAGGGTGTGGAGTTTGATAAAGAAACACAATTGAATTGCATTATGGGAATTGTAGGATCCAGGGCTTATGAACATTTTAATGTGTCCAGTACTTTGGTTTATCGCCAAATACTTGCAAATCTAATTACATTACCTTCATCCTCAGCAGTATGCTCTCTTTAGTGCCAACTGGCAAATGATAACATGCTAACATGCTAACTAAGATGGTGATAAAGCTCAACTTAACTTAAAGTATACCTGTTTAGAGACAGTTTGTTACTGTAGTGCTGTCATTGTGAACATGTTCAGTCTCAGTCTTGTTTAAGCTGTTTCTTTCAAGTTCCATAACTTTATGGCCTGTTTAACTTATTATGTTTCCAGAAGTAGTCGTATCAGTGTGTGTGACAGCGCTCGGGGGCAGATAGATAGTTTTGTGTCATCAAATTTAACACATTCATTTAGATTAATAAAAAAAACGTGTGTTTAAAATTAATAAATTAATAATAATTTTATGATCTGTTTTACGGCTTTAACTTCAATGAAAAAAAGATAGATGGATATTTCTATTCAGTGTGGCACAATAATGTAATGTTTTTGAGTTAGAATATTTTAATTTGGGGGATTTTCCAAGCAAATACTGATATATGTGATTGTTTGTAATTAAATATCTTTCCATGCCACCCTCTGGCCACCCCATGAATATTTCTCTAGATCCGCCCCTCCCCTGCTCAGCAGTTATTTTAGGCTGATTTCTGTACTTGACGCAGTTTGCCACATTGCTGTGTTTCCACCAGCCGCCACTGTCATCTTACATTTAAGTAATACACAAACAGCTATAAATGACACAAATGATAACTCACAAATCTACAGTAGGTTTTTTGTTTGTGAATCTTGCTGTATTGGTCAAATAGAGTGCTCACGTCTGTGTTTTATTATCGCTGCTGCTTTCTTCAGGGCTCTGGGTGTATCTGAGGTCAAAGCGGCCGTGAAAGAGGCCATTCAGCTGCAGAAGGACTTCCCAGATGTTGTTGCAGGATTTGACATGGTAGGAAGCAATCTGTCTTGCTGAACTTCTTAAAACGATAAGCTCTTGTTAAGTGGAAATAATTTCTCTCGTTAGTTGTGACAGTTTGATGTGGTTGTCTTTAAGCTAACATTATAGTTGGCAGGTTGGCAGGGAGGACAGTGGGAGGACTCTTTGGTACTTCAGGGAGGCACTTTCTCTGCCAACTGAACTCGGTGTCAAGCTGCCATACTTCTTTCACGCAGGGGAGACGGGTGGGTGGATCGAAAGAATAATATACATTATAGCCTTTCCAAAGTTTGAAAAGTCTTTTAAAATGTACTTTGGTTCCCACTGTGTGTGTTTGTTGGTAGATGATGAAGGCACCGACGTAGATCAAAACATTCTTGACGCCCTTCTCTTCAACACCACACGCATTGGCCACGGCTACGCTTTGGCACACCATCCACTGGCCAAAGAGCTTTCTAGGAAAAGAAACGTGGCTGTGGAGCTGTGCCCCATCTCAAACCAGGTCAGATAACCTATTGCCATTGGCACAATAGAAAAAGAGTATTTCTGAATCCAAATGTCCACTGTTCGGACTGGTGCTCTAAGCCATCGTAGCTCACTGTCACCACATAAAAACCTGTTTACAGGGAGATTATTTGAAATTCCTGACCCTGTGATTCATTATTTAAGTATTTTTTCATAACAGAAATGGAATATAATATTATATATGTTTTCATTAGTGTATAATCACTTGAACATAGGAATCTTTGTGTTTTTGTTACCTTAGAGTGACCTGTTTTTCTCTACAGACTTCTATGGAGTCTACCATGTGAACGACTGTGTTTCTATAGTAGCCCAGAACAAACAAATAAAACCAAACACTGGCTGTAGATAATTTCTTTTGTGGGTTTTGCAGCCACTGTACTCACCGTACAACCTGTTCTCATTACCAGATCATGACAAACACAAGTGGTGGTCAGTTTATTGCAATCTACAACTTCACTACATGCCACTTGTCCTCTACTAACAACTTATATGTGCAGGGTCAACTGAGGATCCTCACACTGTTCATGGACAAAAACAAACCTTTGCCGAAGCTTTGCAGAATACAACAAAGAAAATGTTTGCATATTCTATCATATTTAGTCTGCACCCTAAACAGACTCTCTTGAAGTAAACAGAAAGTTTACCTGCCTTTGTATATAAAGTACCTGAGTGTGTTTGACCTCTGACCCCCTAGGTGTTGAAGCTGGTATCGGACCTCAGGAACCACCCCGCAGCTGTGCTGATGTCTGAGGGCCACCCGATGGTGATCAGCTCTGATGATCCGTCCCTATTCGGCACCACAGGCCTCTCCTACGACTTCTATGAAGCCTTTGTCGGCATCGGAGGGTTAAAAGCAAACCTGGGCACTCTGAAAGAGCTGGCTGTTAACTCTATCAGGTGAGAAGAAACTATACTAATCATATGTTTTTAGATTGTCTACTTTTGAGGCAGCAGGCAGGTGATATTCTATATGTTTCTTATTGTCAACAAATCTCATGAAACAATTAATTGATCCTACTTTCTGTATCTGAAGCCTGAGGTATCTTATTCTTTTGTACCATAGAGCTCCATTATTGTTCGAAAACTATTCAAAAACACATCAATGAGCCACTCTGTTTCACTGGGTGACATGTCCCTTCATTATGTTGAGCATGATCACAGTAGTTTATTTTTATCCCACATTCACGGTCTGGGTACCTTAAACCATCTGTGTATTGATCTACAGCTGAAAATAGTCAAACAGGAGTAAATAGTGCTGGAGACTAAAAACTGCCAGTCTGGGAAAAATGAAAGTGTATATTCATGACCGGTTTTAAAATATGTATGTATTCAGTAAGAATAAATGGGGTTGAAAGCCACAGACGGGTTATAGGAAACTCAAAGTATTGAGAGATGTTTGGGTTAAATGGTTGTGTGGACTGTGGAGGATGTTAAAACCAAAAGCAAGAGTGTCTCAGATCACACTTTAGTTAAGCCTGGAGGTGCTGCCTTTCAGTGAATGCCTAGATGGAGATTTAATGAGTTTAAGGAGAAGTAAAATGAATCCATATATAGAGTTATGTAACCCACAGCACCCTACTGAGAGGCTTTATCATTCAGCATGCTCCTTATAAAAAAAAAAGCAAAATTGTAAAGCGAGCAGAAACTGAGGATGACATTAAGATAGTTAAGGCATACTTAAAAAGGAACTTTAATATCAAAGCTCTTAAGTATGACTATAACAGAGCCACTTTGACATGAAATAGTGGTGTAAACACAGGTTGTACAATAATGTTTTTGTGAAACAGGCCCCAGAATATTGACATTTGTATTCCAAATAACAACCAAAATGTCATCATCTTTTACACAATGTGCATATTTGCTTACTGATTATCTCCTGTTCTTTGAATGAATCACCAAAGAGAAATTCAAAGGGATCTCTTAAAACTGTTGCAGCACAAGAATAATGTAACTTCTGCAAGAACTATATGACAATATTGATCTTGTGATAAAAGCAAGTTCATATCAGAATTTAATAAGGCTGTAGGAAGTATTAAAGAATATGATTCCTAGTTTATGTTGTAAAACTTGTAGATATTTTTAGCCAAGCAAGCTCATGTTAAAAGCCTATAATTAACTTTTCCAATAATATTCCAAGCTTTTATAATAAGAGTTTTTTTCTGCCTGCAGGTACAGCTCCCTGCCAGCTCAACTGAAAGACACAGGTTACGCCATGTGGCAGAGAAAATGGGACACCTTCATTGTTGATCATTCATGACGGCGACACAAACAGATCCTGTTTGACTTAAATTATGTCTGTACATAATAGTGCTAAAGTGAAGCAAACATATTGGCCATTAGCGCCTTCATTTAAATTCAATGCGACATGCATCACTGGAACTACTGTTTGTCTGTAAAGAATAGGCTGGAAAGAGTTTAACATACCCTGAGGGATGTTTTGTCTGATATAGAAAGGAAGGTTGGTGTGTTAAACTCCCAGGGGTTTCTGAATTTTTGTTTTTTACGAACTTTACATTAAACTTGCGTGCTGATGAGAAAAGTGATTGATAAGTCATTTAGGATGCTCTGGGTGAGTATTCAAAGTCATCCAGCGTGACAGAATTTCACACAAAAACTAGCAGAAAATAATATGAGCACCTTTTTGTACTCAATATTTTGTGTCACAATGATAAATTAAAAGTAAAAAAAGCTAATAATTAAATAAAAATTATCACTTCCTCTCCGTGATCTAGTGCAAAATGTGAAGTCACCCCAAAGACAAGCAGTCATTCTAGATCTTTCTCTGACATGAGGTGCAGTTTTTGTGCAACAATGTCTTCTGGGTCCTGTCCACCAGTCTTTCAATGGCCTTTGAGGAGATTTTGTATCTTCCAGCTCTGACCACTGCACTGCTGAATAACAAGTTTGTAATAGCCGTCTTCACCCATCGCAACTTCCAGACATCTCTTTGTTTCTCTGTTCTGGATAGGTCCGTTCTGGGAATAAAATACAACACAACAATAAAACACATTTCTTTTTCTCCAAACAGAACAACTGTGTGGATTTATATATAAAAACTCAGATATATACCTGTTTAAAATCCCACAGCATGTGGAATTTCTTCTGATGGGCTACTTTGCACTCGTACAGTCCCGGGTAGATTCCAGTGCCGGTGTCCACCAGACAGCGGTTGCTGTTGTACTTGTGGGATTTGATTCCACCGATGTAAAGTTGTCCGTCCGTACGATAATAACAGTGCTACACCAAAGAACAATATTTATCCACAAACAAAAAATATCACTGTCTGTGTGCATGCAATGAATCTCTGAACATACCTGAGGTGAGTAGTGGTGGCAGGCATACACAATGGGTGTGTTCCCTGGCATTGGGCCTTGGTCAATACAGAGCTCTGGCTTTATGTCATTCGTCAGCTACCAATATAAGCAGAAATAGAAAGTAACCCTTTAAATCATGCATTACAAATAGTGGCACAACTTACATTATCATCAAGCAATATATGTTCTTCGTCAACCAAAAAACACCAAAACCAACCAGAGGTCTGTGCTACCTCTGCAGTTAATGGAGGATGAAGAGATTTACATCACACTTTGTTTTTTGGTTCTTATTGAAGACATAAATCTTTAAAAAAACAACAAAAAAACAGTTTACATACATAAATTCATTTTTAAAACTGGCTAATAAGCAAACGTTGACTGTTTTCAGCAGCACATTGATACACATTTGGTGCTTTGGTGAGTATTTACAGCAGCAGGATGGGATATGTGGGATTGACTCAAAACATCAATAAGAGTATATATAATATAATATATAATTTAACCAGATTTATCCTTTAATTTACAACAATTAAACAGGTTGTGGTGGTGCTATATTCTGTAGAAACAGAAAAAAAAACGTCTTTTTGTTCCTATTTATCCATGCATACTGTACTGATTATCCTATTTAGTGGTGTAAGGGGCTAATACAAGTCTATCACAGTATCATTTATGTCAGTGGTTCCCCACCATGGAGTCAGGACCCTAAAACTAAAAGTTAAAAAGATGGTTTACAGGATATGAAAACAGAAGAAAGAAGTATTTATTTGACACAAAATGATCTAGATTTTTTTTTTTTTTCAGCTGTTCCTTGAATATTTCCCTTTGTAAATTATTAGATAAGTTTTCCTCTTTAGGCCTCTAAAACTTGTGGAACAATGAGCAAAATGTAAAAATCAATCTTGGTCATTACACATAGACGTGTTCAACCTGTGATGATAGGTAACAAGATTAGACTTTGCTTTGGGGTTCCCATGTCAAAAATATAATCTAGTCCGACCCGCAAGATAGTTATTTTTAAAGCTTAAACTACCCCATCATATACAATTAAAATAAAAACACAATTCTATTTCTTTTAATTATCATCTTTGTTAGAGATAGCCATGGTCAGTGGTAGTCATAAATGTGTGCAATGGGTTCATAAGAAGCGAGCAGGATTTGGTAGATGATATAAAATGATAATATAAAAATGTGTAGAAACTGCTGTTTGCATTTTTTTGTTAAGTATGATATTAGTAATGGAAATATTCAGAATATTGCAGATTAAGACTTCACATCTGACATTGTTTTTACTCACCCCTCCATAACCTAGCAGGTCGTGCAGAGGGTCCAGCATGGGGTAAACATTATCTAGATACCACTTAAAAGGCTTGCAATTCAGCCTCTCTCTCAGCTTTTTCCTCTCGGACACATCCCCAATGTCGATGCCATGATTCTGTAAGAAACGTCAGGATAAATAAGGCCACAAAAAAGTTTGATAAGTAACAGGAACAACAGTGCGTTTGCATTAGTCACATCCTCCAGAGCACTCTCTTATGAAGCCTAATTGATGTATTGCATAATGAGGCGTCATTGCTTACTTCCAAGGGAAGGTTCCAGGCAATGTTGACATTGTATTTATATTCATCCAGCCACACCTCTGCCACTCTCAACGCGTTACGTTTCATTGTTACACTCAAATCTGGGAGGTAAGGCTTTCTGGCTCGTTCAATGTGGGCAATTTTAGAGCAAGGTATAACTTCTACGCTTCCTCCACATAGCCACACCTGCCAAATGAAAGAAGTAGAATTTAAGGGCATTTTTAAACACATACAGTATGCAAGCTTATTTCATGCACAAATTAACATTAAACAAGGAAACATATTGTACAGAGAACAGTCTTTTTGGACAGGGAGTCCAGTAATGTTGGTATATGTAGTCAAATGTTATTTCTCCTTAGCCTATCCCATGCATACATGCATTAGACAAAGGAAAGGGAAATATCCTGAACTTAGATCCTGGAACTACATTTTATGATTTAGATTGTTCTATGGGTTGTATGGGTTTCTTCAAACAAACAGCTACACAGCAAACACCAGGGGTGCTTCCCAATACCCATACTACCATACTATTCAGTATGCCAGAAAAAGATTTTTGTATTGCCCAAAACATAGTACATCAAATACAGTATGCAAAAAATACCAGGATGTCCTACTGCATCCAGTCCCATATTGCAGACAGCATGCTTTTCTGGCTATTCATGCATCGACTGAGTCAACAAGTAAACACAGACAGATGACAGTTGACAGCACATTTTGTTCATCATTTGTTTAACAAATAACTTTTCAACAGCCGTTCCACATCTACAGCAAACTTGATGTAGTTATTTTTGGGCATCACGTTTTAGTAATCTCACCCGGATGCCAAGCTCCACATTTTCACCACCATATATTTTCATTCCACCGTCAAGGCTTCCGATCTCTCCGAAGAACTTGCGATCGGCTACAAGAATCCCCATGATGGAGGGGCTCCTGAGGACAAAATATAACACATTAAGAAGTTGCAATATGTAGCTTCTATCCTATATAAAAGTGTTGGCAGGACCCTATTTAATTTTTTTTTTTTTTTCATTTTTGTAATGAAAACACAAACCACAGTTTATTAATTGAATTAAATTGAGAGTTAACAAGTAGTTCCCCCAAAGTCAAAGTTCTGTTTTCATTTGCTGAGGTTTTTTATATCTGAATCTTCTGCAATTCAGGGATTTTACAAATACTGCAGAGTCAAAGCCCCCTAGTTTTGACAACATTGGATCTGTGTGTACAGTGTCTACAGAAACAGTTAAAGGTGCCCTTTTATTTTATCATAAAACAGGTAACTTACATGCTGGTAAATAGCTTTGTACCTGTTTGACTTTCAGAATAAGAAATGGTATAAACAAAAAGCATTCTGAAAACATAGATGAGAGTGAGGTCACTCTGAAGTAGAGCTCAGTTTTGTTTGATAATTATGTGCCAGTGTAGCCCAGTTAGTCAAAAATACCTTTAAAACTATCTAAAAGGAATATCTGTCTGCAGGTTTTCTTGCATATTGAGGCTTTGTATGCAGTTCTATGTACCTTCTTGCATATTGTATTGATATGGAAAAAGGAGACCGTATGAATATTATTATCCGGTTAAATCTGTGGACAAAAACTGCATCTCCAAAATTTACCACGTGGAAGGGACCTGCATGATTCATGGGACAGAGCAGTTTAGGTTTGTCTGTAGACACTATACACATGCCTCAGTGTTGTGAAAACAACAGCATTCAAGCAAACTATGGCAAAAATATTAACAAATAATAATAATAACAAATATTGCATTTGTTACAAAATACACACACACACACACACATTTGGTGTTAGCTGAATATCATAATATAGGTATACAAAGGTTAGGCTTTGTGGTCAATATTTACCTCCAGTAGAATATTGTTTGGTCTTTTGATTATCCGACATAATCTAGAGAAACGTGTTGCTGATGAACTTATTGAACGTAAAATTAGTCACTTTTGGTTTGGTCTGATGAGAAGAAGATTGATACCACTCTAATATCGAATAATATCGATTAAATATGAATCTACAGCAGGCAGCCCATTAGCTTAACTTAGCATTATTAAGACAGGAAATGGAGGAAACAGCAAGCTTGGCTCTGCACAAAGATCGAAAAACATCTGCCTACGAGCCCTTATAAAAGCACATAATGAATATGCAATATCTCAGTTGTTTAGTACAAAAACATTGACATTTTAATGGCGGTTATGTGGCTGACGAGAGCAGTAACTAGCCAACTGTCTCCTAACTCCAGCTTCTTATTAAAAGAACAGGTATAAGTTGTATTGATCTTCTCATCCAGCAGGAAGAAAATTGATAATCGCGTTTTCTCAACAATTTGTTCAAAATGGGATTTTTTTTGTTGTTATTTTGACTGACTCTTTAAACTTAAACTTACTTGCCAGGCAGCGACTCGTCCTTTAAAGCGTACCACTCAGGTCTGAAGGACTCATACATGCACCACAGAGCCCAGTCGAAGGCGTCCGCAGCGGGCACATAGGGAATCAGTGTCAAGTCATCAAATCGGACGTTGTCGAACACTGGTGTCAATATCACGGTCCGATCCTCTTTAATGCGTGCCAGCAATGGCTCTGCCCTGGACACACAGCAACAGTTTAACTTAACCTGCATGACTTAAAAAACCAACAAACTTATTATGACAACTTAATCACCCCTGTAGCATAGCAACACCCAAAGACTATATGAAAACTTAAAACCAACCATTGCACGTGGACTTCTATGTGAGCGTCCAAGATGGCGACCACGTCCCCTACAGCAGCCTTCCATCCCGACAGTCGAGCCTGGGTGAGGCCGAGCTGCTCAGCGTGCCTGACTTGCTTCACCAGGCCTGGATACTCCTCGTTGATGGAGTTGATGTATTCATCCAGTTTCTCCATTAAATCCTCTGCAGGAAGTAAAGATTTTATGTCATGTACTGGTTTAATTTGAACTGTAGATTTAGTCTAGTTATACCTTTGGCGATATCAATCAATCAACCCACCAGTCTCTCATTGTTGGATGGCGAAATAGCCAGCCTTAAAAGGACTGGTTTACCTGAAATACTAACATTTAATTCAACCCTAGTGGTATAGCCATATTTTGGGATTATTTGGCCACCACCTCTGAGATTTAAGTAGCTCCAGTACAATAAAGTGATTTATCTGTGGTGGTCACAACGATGAAAAATTACATTTATAGGAAGGTTTGACATTTTGGCAAAGTTTATGCAGCAGAAGCAGCCGGTTAACCTGTGAAACCTCATCCCTTGTAGGACTCGCCCTCCAGTGCTAGGGCCTCGCTAATCCTCAGGTCGTTTCACCACAATTTAGCTTTAAACATGATGAGTCTGAAGCTCCGTGTGGAGCCGGGATGTGTTCACATGTGTGTGTACTATACTTTGTACTATACTCATTCCTTGTTTCTCAGCCATTGTGTTTGCACAGCTCCTCCTGAAGCCAATGTGGGAAAATGCCATTAGGAGCACTACACACTATCTGTCTCAAGCACTACTGTCAGGATATAGTGGCAGTTTCAGCAAATATGCCAAAAAGTAATTTTTTTAAATAAAAGTTACCTACTGACCCTTTAATGAGAATGTTAGTTTATTTGACACATAAATGGATAATCGGATATCCTGAACTATTCCTGTTCATTGGATAAATTAAAGCAAACATCTCCTGATATCCAGCCAAGATTGTTGGTTCTCCTCCAACAGACTCTGGCGGATTTGCAAGTCCGGCTTTTCAGTGTTGATTGTACTAATGTGTAAGTCAATATAATTACACTGTGTTTGAAGATGGAAAACTCCCTATTTCAACAGTGTCTCATTCAGGGTGGAACAACCTTTTACTGTCTTCATTAGCATATTTCTAAATATGTTTGTTTAGAGGAACGTCTGTGGCCTACCCCAAAATTAAACTGTTTCTGCAGGCAAATTGTCTAAATGCAAATGAATAGCATTGTGAGCTGCATAAATCATACTATCTTGGCAGCAGAAATCTTAGATGCAAATATCTGAAATATCTGGAGCCCTTTGCCACATACCTCTAGGAGTAAGAGCTCTTGAGTAACTTGGGAAAAGTTCTAATAACACTTTGTACATCTCAGAATAATCTGCTAACTTTTATCACAGCAGTTCGACCTACCGTTAGTGCTGTGATCGTCCACCAGTATGATTTCTTTCAGCAGCCGAGCTGGTGTCTTGTCTATGATGCTGCGGATGGCTCTTTTGATGACAGAAAGAGCTTCGTCCAGGAAGATTAACACAACGCTGACTGTTGGCAGATCCTCTGGGTACTTTTTCTCAGCACACCTGTGAGGGGCAAAAAAGTAGAAGTATTAAATGATTTGAAAATCATTTTCAATCATGGCTATAAGAAACTATTTTGATGCATTTTCAAATTGTTGTATTTCAGTTTGGGCTGCAAATAACTATTATTCATTATTTAATAATCTGTCGATTATGTTCTTGATTAATTGATTGTTTAGTCTATAAAATGTCATAAAGTAGTCAAAAGTACCTTTTTAGTTAACATCTTCATATTGCTTGTTTTGTCCGATTTGCACAAAAGATATTTAGTGTAGTATCATAAAAGACTAAGAGCTAATGAACAAGCTAATGTTTACATTTGAGGTTTGCGAGTTTTGCTTAAAAACAAATGATTTATACAATTAATCAATTATCAGATTGTTTACAATTAATTTTCTGTCCACTGTTTTAGGTCTAACCTAAAAAGGATAGTCAACCACTGATATATATGTACAGATTAAAAGGGTACCAACTGGCTTCATAACCTCTGAAAGTAGGAACACTGACTGAATATCTGGTCAAAAGTCATTTATTGTGTCACATGCTGGTTCTAAATAAAGCTCATATTACTCAGAAATCATTCATTTAGAGCAGATTATCTGTGTAAAAGAACTTAACATGTTGATTGATTTCTCAACCATTAAGGAAAGTTGTAAAAAGTAATAAAATTAGCATAGGTCTCAGATAGTTCTCATTTTGTATTTTTCATTCACTTTATTTAGTTTTTTTCAATTCAGCTTAGTTTCAGTAAGTTTCCAGAGTGGGTTTGCTTGTTTAAGTTTAGTTTTTATTGTTTAAAAATGTTCAGATTTATTTATTTTTATGGAGTTTTAGTTTGCATTTTTTTATTCTTATAATACGAGGGTATTTGTATTTATTTAGTTGCAGTCTGAAACTGATAAATGCCACTAAATCCTTCACACTGGTCCTTTAACTATAACAGCCTTGGCCTCAAACCAAACAGGCATCATAAAGCAATTAATTGTTTATTTCACTATTAGTTTCCCACATGAGCAGGAAGTTACGGTCACCTGAGGGGCCTGGTGTCAGGTATCTCTCTGTTGAGGGGAAGCCTGTCACTGAGGAAGGCGTTGTAGCCGTATCTCTGAAACAAGCTCTCGGCCTCCTTCTGCTCCTCCTCTGACAGCTCATCACCCCACTTGCTGAACAGAGCCGAGTTCGGATACAGCTTCCTCACCAGCTTCCTCTCCTTTTTCACCTCTGCAATAATCTGTGGCGCTGGTTCCTTCTTTTCGAGTTTATTCATTACACCGACTGTGTACAGAAGATATATTTATTTAAAGCATGTGTTTTACCCTTCTCATTCTTCTGCTATGGATCACAGGTGACTGATGTTTGAACAAACAGGTGCTACTCCCTGAAACATAAATACATCTCCTAGTGCATTAACAAATAGCAGTCAGTGGTTTGCACTGGTGTGATCACTATTACCACACGCAGCTTGGCATTCAGTTTAACAAACCCAACCTGTGTTGTGTTACTGAAATTGATACTGTAGGAATTGGTTTAGTGATTTACAGCTCAGTCCTAACCGGGCTGAGTTAGGTTGGAAAGTGAAAGTTTATGATTCATTTATGAGTGGATGAACAAAACAGTAATTGGATTGATTAATTTCAGTCCATTTTCATGCAAAAATGCAAAAACTACAGAAGCCGAGAACTGCCATGGATTTTTTTTATGCACTGTTATCT